AAAAAAAAAAAAAAAAAAAAAGAAAAGAAATACTGGACAACACTAAGAACACTGGAAGCCTAATGAGGACAGACACTTTGGGGTCATGGTTGCTGTCACTGTTGTTGTGATTAATTGCTCTTATCTTTAGCACTACTCTAATAATACTGCCAATCACCCAGTACCACTGGAAAATTTTAAAACTCTTAACAATATGAAATACTGGCAAAGATACTGAGTAAACAGAATTCTCCTATACTGCTGGTAGGGAATGGAAACTGGTCAAACCACTCTGGAATAGTTCAGCAAACCTAGAGAAGATGAAGATATGCCTAAATAGTCTAGCAAGTACATTTCTAGGTATATATGCTGGAAAGTTCTCTATAAACATATACACCTGCAGATATATACAATGATGTTCACTGTAGCACTATTATAGCCTGAAACTGGAAAGGACCCCCATTATCTATCAACAGAAGAGTGACTAAAGTAGTGATACCATGTAATAAAATCACAATGATAAAATGGAGAAACAACTACTAGGAAGAATTAATTACACAGAACTAGCCACAGTAGTGGGCACTGGTTGACATCGCTACTAAGCAGTCTGAAGCCACATGGAGGTTTAGGTGCAATTCCTTGCCTACCCTAGAAAGCCATATATACTGAAGTGTGCCTATAGTCCCAGCTACTTGGGAAGTTAAGGCAGGAGAACCACGATAAAGCAAGACCCTGCCTTTAAAGAAACAACAACAACAACAACAAAACATTTTGTAATAGTTTAAGAATGCATAAAAAATGTTTTCATGTATTTAAAATTCAAAAGAAGTAAACTATAGTTTTTAGTAATGTGGACAGAAGTCTGACTACTTTTTCTATTTTCCAAAAGGGACTGGGGAAGTCATACCTACAAACATTAACAGACCATTTATTTTCTATTGACAGGATTCTTCCTACCTCCTGTTCCTGGCATAGTATCTTTGAGACGTATATTTCAACCAATTACAGTGTATTCTTTTGCTTATTTCTTCTCAAGACACGGTACTTCCCTTTTCCTTAAGATGTAGATTAAGCCTTTCTTTAACTAATCTCTTCCCAAGACATAGATCTTCCTTTCCAATCACCTACCTAAGAATTTGTGGAACCCACCTATAACCTACAAACCCCTCCCACCCCCCCACCGCTGCTTCTACATGTCCCGCCTTTTTGGGCCAGACCAATGGGAAATCTTTTAATTAAATGTTGTCTGTCAATCTCAAAAGCAAATAAAAGGAACCTCTGTACATGATCACCCCAAGAAAAGGCATGTATGCCTCTTCTCTGGCCTAGGTCACACAGTTGGCTTGGAAATAAACCGCATTAATTATTAATTTTACAGTTGGTTATTTATTTTCCGTCAACAGTAACAATATGTTAGGAAATGTTTAAAATATGTAGATGTAAAACACATGAAAACAATAGCACAAAGATGGAAAGAAACAGAACTATATTACTGTAAGGTTCTTACACTACACATTACTTGATAGCTTCTGTTAAACTAAAAATGTGTATTTTAAGTACTAGAGTAACCACAAAAAGGAAAAAAATAAAATTAACAAACCAAATTAACAAACCAAAATTAAAAATAAAAAGCAAAGGACAAAGGAGGTAAATTGACAACAATGAGGAAGATGATAGACTTAAATCTACCAGGTGCTGAGTGCGTGCGTGCCCAGGATCCCTAGAGGAGAATGGAGGAGATGGGATTGCGGCTTGACCATACCCCCTGGGGGGTGATTTCTCACTTTCTGTCTCTATGTCTCTCTCTGTCTGTCTGGCGAGCGCACACACCCTATAGCGAAAACCTCTCCAAAAAAAAAAAAAAAGTCTAAATACTGGATCATTGGAAGAGTCACGAATTATTTTTTTCTGTTTTTCTATGCAATAATGTGTTGTGACTTTTCCAATGACTCAATATAAATAATTACAGTAAATTTATATAGAATTAAGCCCCCTGCTTAAAGGCAGAGATTGGCAGGTTGGATATAAAAAAAAGCAAGACCTTTGTCATTTACAAAAAACTATTTTAAAATTCCAGTACACATATAGGATGAAATTAAGGAATGCAAATGATACACCATGCAGACACTAGTCAGAAGAAAGCTGAAGTGGCTATATTAACATCAGACAAAAGAGATTTTAAGAAGGAATATTCCCAAAGATAATGGGGGGAAAAAAGTTGCATAAGAATAAAAGGGTCAAATCATTAACAAAAAAGATAATCCTAAATGTACATAAGGGATCTTTTCCTATGCACAGATTTAAAAACATGTGTATAGGAAAAGCAGAATACATATGCTATTCAAATGCAAATGGAATATTCATCAAGATAAATAATAGTGTGGATTATAAAGCAAATTACTACAAATTTTAAAAGACTATAAGGCTAGATAATCTATTTTGTGACCACAATGAATTAAACTAAGAATCACTATCTGGAAAGATAGCTGAAATATACCAATATTTGGCAATTATACAACATACTTCCAAGTAGCCCATATGTTAAAACACACACATGTATATACATACACAATTACAAAACATTTTGCATTGAATAAATAAATCTCCATGTATCAAAATATATAGGACATAGCTAAAACAATGCTTAATATAAAATGTTTATAAAGAACAAAGTTCTCAAATAAATTATCAAAACTTCCAACATAATAGGAAAAAAGGCACACTAAAACCAAAGCAAGCAGAAATAAGAAAATAACACTGGTAAGAAATTCAACGAGTTTGAAAACAGAAAAATATTAAAGAAATCAATGAAATCGAAACAGATTCTTTGAAAAGATTCACAAAATTGATAAACCTCTAGCCAGAATAATCAAGGAAAAAAGACATGAATTGCCAACATCAGAAATGAAAAAAGTGACATCACTATAGATCCAAGGACCCTTTGGCTGGAGAAACCAGAAAATTGAAGCCAGAAAACTATGGTCACTGAAGAGAATAAGGAAATCTAAAGAAGCAAAAGTCAGAAAAGAGATACCCCATATTCTTTTTAAGTTACAGCTTTGATGTGACACTGAACCACATGCAAGTGAATAGACTTAAAGCAGCTCAACTAAAAGGAAAAGATCTGAACTGAAATTGAAACCCTCCTCCCCTCAAAAAGAAGTTAACAGTTTACATTCACTCAAGTTAATTGCCTGTCAAGACAAAAGTAGCATTATCCATTGGAGAATAATAAAATTCAGAACCTCTTCATCTATACTTTATTTACAGGGTATAGCTATGTACTGGAAATATGCTAAGCAAGATGAAGTCCTCCCCTCATGGAAGTTATAGTCAAATGGAGAAGACAGTCAATAAAGTATAGTAAAAGTTAATAAATGTTCTGATAGGAAGAGTAGAAAGAATACATGACAGAAATACCTACTTTAATCTAAGTAAGTCTTTCCTAAAGTTTTCTAGGCAAGGCTTCAAGATAAAATAGTAAAATAGTTTCATTTTACCTCTAAGTTAAAAACTTGAAGTTTTCTTAAAACAAAAAGCAAGGAGAAGCTCAGTAGAATTGGTACATATATGGTGAAAGCAGAATGACAAGAGATTGCAAGTGAGGTCAGTAAAGTCTAAGGTAACTTAATAATTAAGCTAAGGAGTCTGAACTTTATTTTAGGAGAAGGCTCTGAAAGATTTTTCAACCACAGAAATACATATTTCAATTTTTTATTTTGGAAAAGTCCTATTGATTCAATTCAAAGAATAGGCTGGACAAAGGCAAGGTTAGGGACAAACCTTTTAAGAAGCTGTTTTACAAATCCAAATGAGAAATAATGATAACCTCATTTATCAAATTCAGTAAAGGAGGTTTAAGGTGCTAGGCTCCAACATGGTTTGAGTCCTGGACCTGACAGTTTGAAAATCATGGTGGATCCATTTGTGTGTGCATGCCCCAAATCCCAGAAGAATGGAGAAGAAAATTGCAGTGTGGCCACCTTCCCTGGGAGGCTGGGGTTGGGGGCGGGGCAGGGGAAGGAGGAAGAGATTTTCTCTCTTTTCCTCTCACTGTCTGGTAAGTGCATGTGCCCTATGGCAAAAAAAATTAAAAAAAAAAAAAAAAGTTACACAGCAGTGTTGGGAATAAATACTGAGTCTAGTTTTGGGCATGCTTAATTATAGGTATTTGTGAAAAACAAAAGTGAAGCTATTCAGCATGCATGTATAGATACAAAGGCCAGGATTCTAGGAGAGAGATCTGTAACTAGAGATAAAGATTTGGGTTTCATTAACTGCTAAGGGAAAACTAATACCTTAGAAATCAATGAAATGTTCCTGGTAGCTTAAAAAATGGTAGATATTTACACTTTGAAGAGAAAAAAAGAGACTCTATGGATTAGAATTTTTTTATATTGAAACTTCTAATTTAAATAGCAACATTACAACTCTATTAACTCCCAACTTAGAACATACAGTTTTCTCATGTAAAAAACAGGAAGATTCTAATTATGAGATAAGTTTAGAGGCCTAATTATGAGATAAGCTTAGAGTTTTGAAAGATGAGGGTTTTATGTCAACTTCCTTACCCTAATTTAAGAAAAATATTTTGTTTTCAAGAAAGAATTATTTTCACACCTAAGGGAAAAGTATCCACATAATGTCTCGTTCCCTGTTTTAGAATGTAAATGTCTACAAAAAGTAGAAATAGAGGAAGAAACAAATGGCAATTAAATAAGATTTTTTTTTTTCATACATCAAATAAATATAATTCGGTTTGAGGAGTCAGCAGATGGTGTAGTGGTTACATCATTGGACTTGCACATGGCCAACCGCAGGTTGAGTCCCAGACCCAGTGGCTTAAAAGGCTTCCTGGGTGCATGTGCATGTGTGTCTAAGATCCCAGGAGGAGAATAGAAGGGATTGTGGCATGTCCATCCTCCTGGGGAGTGATTTCTCACTTTCCCTCTATCTCTGTCTCTCTCCATGAGTATACATACCCTATGGCAAAAACCTCTGAAAAAAATTTAATTGGGTTTGAACAGGTGACAGAAACACAGAAGCAGCAACTAAAATACATATATGCTAAAAAAAAAAGTAACAGAGTATTTTATTTCAATCTTACCTTGCTCCTAAATTTTCAATGGTTATATATTCATCCTTTCTCATAACTTCAAACTGCAAGTGATAGAAAAAAAAATCCTAAAGTAGTTCATTTTTTAAAATTCTTTAATGTAGTTCTTACCTTTAACATTTGAAAAAGGACAATGAGAATAAGACATAGTGAAGACAAAACAAACAAAAGTACCAAGGTGAACAATAAGCAATCATGATCAAACAAGAAAATAGAATTGACCTTAAAAGCAGTTCTACTTTACATCAGTACAAGATTTAAATGCCAAATTTGAAATACAAATATAGCATATTTAAAGATAAGAAATAGATATATTTCTATTCAAAATTCTGGTTCTTTTCATATAAACTAAAAATTCAACAAAGATATTTAATTAATTTAAAAATAAAATGAATATCAAGTCAGTACATTTCATGTAACACATTTCATGTAACACATTTCATGTGACATTCTATAGATATTTTCATAGAAAGATATTTACAGATATTTAGGAAAAAAAGGTTCAGAAAACAGATTCAGAAGGCTTGAAAGTATTTTTAACCAGAGGTGACACAGAAATTATCATCCTTTGTTTGTATCACTTACTTCACTGTTACACCCCTGGCATATTTTCTCTCTGTTTTTCTGTCTGTATGTTTCTATTTCTTAAAATTTTTTGTTCTTAAAAACCACTTAATACTATTTTGTATAAATCATAGCAATAAAAAAGTCAGAGAGCTTAGTCACTACTAAAGAAAGTATAGCTAAAGAAATTGATTCTCAAAGCTGTTTCAAGTCAAAAATACTATTCCAATGAGGGAAAGCAAGAAACATAAGGAAAAGATACTCACCAAAATTTTAACAAGTCCAGGTACATCACACTGCAGCATCCTTACCATGTCACCCATACATCCTTCTTTCAAACATTTTTTCCCACTAAAACTCTAGATATTAATGGAAGTAAATAAAATAAAATCACTGCTGTGCAAATTTGAGTACATTTAAGTAAAGTTAGAGGCAGATGTTGCTAGGAAGTAAACCAAAAGAAGTGAATAAACATTTGAGTTAGATGTTCAAAGATGGTTCACTTTTCATCCATCAATGGCTGTCCTTAAACTCTATGGTTTCACTTTTCTCTTTATTTCTAAAATCTTTAAGTACCTGTCTATATTACAGCCTAAAATGTACTTGTTACCCCAGAGAAAGCAACTTTAAGTAAAATTACCATTTAAGTGAGTGTAAAAAGGAATACTGAATTTCGATCAGATACACAAGAATTCCAGGGAAAAGGAAAGTATAAAAATATTGAAACCTTTCTCTAGTTCCAACCTTGCTATTTTCCCTGGTTAAGTTACTTATTTTTTATTTATCTTTCTAAAACCAAGCAAAAATAAGTGCCTCAACAAAGAAAGTATTTATACACAGGCAATAAGTAAGTAAGACCCTGTCTGAAAGAACATGCTGGTGTATGGTGGTAGTCCCAGCTACTTGGGAAGCTGAGGCAGGAAGATCAAGATATAAGGAGTATTGGGAACCAGCAGTTAGCGTAATGGTTATGTTGCTGGATTCCCACGTAGTCGACTGTGGTTCGAGTCCCGGACCTGGTGGCTTAAAACTCACGCTGGGCACGTGTGCGTGCGTGCCCAAGATCCTGAGAGGAGAATGGAGGAGAAGGGATTGCGGCATGACCATCCCCTCTGGGGGGTGATTTCTCACTTTCTGTCTCTGTCTGTCTGGCGAGCACACGTGCCCTATAGCAAAAACCTCTCCAAAAAAAAAAAAAAGATATAAGGAGTTTTTAAATACCACTTTGAGAAATTAATAATAATGCTTTATATATTAATTTTTACAGTTTATAGTACAAAGTCCTTCTGTTTCATCTGTTAATCCTCACAGCCATATGAAGTAGATTTATTCTATCCTTAGAAATAAATTCCAAAGCATACAGCCAACTGAATTTTGACAAAGGACATCAGTCAATCCACTGGAAAAAAGAAAACCTCTTTGGGAAGTGGTACTGGAAAAACTGGGTATCTACCTGCAAAAAGATGAATCTGGACCCCTATCTCTCACTATTAACAAAAATCAACTCAAAGTTGATCAAACATCTAAACCCAAGACCTCAAATATAAAACTACTGCCAAAAACACTGGGGAAACTCTCAGAGACATTGGAATAGGCAAAGACTTCTTAAATAAGACTCCCAAAGCAAAGGCAATAATCCCAAAAATAGACAAGTGGATTATATCAGACTAAAATTTTTACATAGCAAAAGACACAGTAATTAGTGTGAATCAGCAACCATTAAGATGGGAAAATATTTTTATAAACTATGTCTCAGGTAGAAGACTGATAACCAGAACACACAGGGATAATAAAACTATTAAGTGGTTCAAATCTAGACTTGAACACAGACCTTCCAATTCCTTATTCAATGCTCTTTCTACCATACCACAATTGCTTTATAAGAGCTTTCCGTGTGTGCAACAAAAGTGAAGCTATTCAGCATGCATGTATAGATACAAAGGCCAGGATTCTAGGAGAGAGATCTGTAACTAGAGATAAAGATTTGGGTTTCATTAACTGCTAAGGGAAAACTAATACCTTAGAAATCAATGAAATGTTCCTGGTAGCTTAAAAAATGGTAGATATTTACACTTTGAAGAGAAAAAAAGAGACTCTATGGATTAGAATTTTTTTATATTGAAACTTCTAATTTAAATAGCAACATTACAACTCTATTAACTCCCAACTTAGAACATACAGTTTTCTCATGTAAAAAACAGGAAGATTCTAATTATGAGATAAGTTTAGAGGCCTAATTATGAGATAAGCTTAGAGTTTTGAAAGATGAGGGTTTTATGTCAACTTCCTTACCCTAATTTAAGAAAAATATTTTGTTTTCAAGAAAGAATTATTTTCACACCTAAGGGAAAAGTATCCACATAATGTCTCGTTCCCTGTTTTAGAATGTAAATGTCTACAAAAAGTAGAAATAGAGGAAGAAACAAATGGCAATTAAATAAGATTTTTTTTTTTCATACATCAAATAAATATAATTCGGTTTGAGGAGTCAGCAGATGGTGTAGTGGTTACATCATTGGACTTGCACATGGCCAACCGCAGGTTGAGTCCCAGACCCAGTGGCTTAAAAGGCTTCCTGGGTGCATGTGCATGTGTGTCTAAGATCCCAGGAGGAGAATAGAAGGGATTGTGGCATGTCCATCCTCCTGGGGAGTGATTTCTCACTTTCCCTCTATCTCTGTCTCTCTCCATGAGTATACATACCCTATGGCAAAAACCTCTGAAAAAAATTTAATTGGGTTTGAACAGGTGACAGAAACACAGAAGCAGCAACTAAAATACATATATGCTAAAAAAAAAAGTAACAGAGTATTTTATTTCAATCTTACCTTGCTCCTAAATTTTCAATGGTTATATATTCATCCTTTCTCATAACTTCAAACTGCAAGTGATAGAAAAAAAAATCCTAAAGTAGTTCATTTTTTAAAATTCTTTAATGTAGTTCTTACCTTTAACATTTGAAAAAGGACAATGAGAATAAGACATAGTGAAGACAAAACAAACAAAAGTACCAAGGTGAACAATAAGCAATCATGATCAAACAAGAAAATAGAATTGACCTTAAAAGCAGTTCTACTTTACATCAGTACAAGATTTAAATGCCAAATTTGAAATACAAATATAGCATATTTAAAGATAAGAAATAGATATATTTCTATTCAAAATTCTGGTTCTTTTCATATAAACTAAAAATTCAACAAAGATATTTAATTAATTTAAAAATAAAATGAATATCAAGTCAGTACATTTCATGTAACACATTTCATGTAACACATTTCATGTGACATTCTATAGATATTTTCATAGAAAGATATTTACAGATATTTAGGAAAAAAAGGTTCAGAAAACAGATTCAGAAGGCTTGAAAGTATTTTTAACCAGAGGTGACACAGAAATTATCATCCTTTGTTTGTATCACTTACTTCACTGTTACACCCCTGGCATATTTTCTCTCTGTTTTTCTGTCTGTATGTTTCTATTTCTTAAAATTTTTTGTTCTTAAAAACCACTTAATACTATTTTGTATAAATCATAGCAATAAAAAAGTCAGAGAGCTTAGTCACTACTAAAGAAAGTATAGCTAAAGAAATTGATTCTCAAAGCTGTTTCAAGTCAAAAATACTATTCCAATGAGGGAAAGCAAGAAACATAAGGAAAAGATACTCACCAAAATTTTAACAAGTCCAGGTACATCACACTGCAGCATCCTTACCATGTCACCCATACATCCTTCTTTCAAACATTTTTTCCCACTAAAACTCTAGATATTAATGGAAGTAAATAAAATAAAATCACTGCTGTGCAAATTTGAGTACATTTAAGTAAAGTTAGAGGCAGATGTTGCTAGGAAGTAAACCAAAAGAAGTGAATAAACATTTGAGTTAGATGTTCAAAGATGGTTCACTTTTCATCCATCAATGGCTGTCCTTAAACTCTATGGTTTCACTTTTCTCTTTATTTCTAAAATCTTTAAGTACCTGTCTATATTACAGCCTAAAATGTACTTGTTACCCCAGAGAAAGCAACTTTAAGTAAAATTACCATTTAAGTGAGTGTAAAAAGGAATACTGAATTTCGATCAGATACACAAGAATTCCAGGGAAAAGGAAAGTATAAAAATATTGAAACCTTTCTCTAGTTCCAACCTTGCTATTTTCCCTGGTTAAGTTACTTATTTTTTATTTATCTTTCTAAAACCAAGCAAAAATAAGTGCCTCAACAAAGAAAGTATTTATACACAGGCAATAAGTAAGTAAGACCCTGTCTGAAAGAACATGCTGGTGTATGGTGGTAGTCCCAGCTACTTGGGAAGCTGAGGCAGGAAGATCAAGATATAAGGAGTATTGGGAACCAGCAGTTAGCGTAATGGTTATGTTGCTGGATTCCCACGTAGTCGACTGTGGTTCGAGTCCCGGACCTGGTGGCTTAAAACTCACGCTGGGCACGTGTGCGTGCGTGCCCAAGATCCTGAGAGGAGAATGGAGGAGAAGGGATTGCGGCATGACCATCCCCTCTGGGGGGTGATTTCTCACTTTCTGTCTCTGTCTGTCTGGCGAGCACACGTGCCCTATAGCAAAAACCTCTCCAAAAAAAAAAAAAAGATATAAGGAGTTTTTAAATACCACTTTGAGAAATTAATAATAATGCTTTATATATTAATTTTTACAGTTTATAGTACAAAGTCCTTCTGTTTCATCTGTTAATCCTCACAGCCATATGAAGTAGATTTATTCTATCCTTAGAAATAAATTCCAAAGCATACAGCCAACTGAATTTTGACAAAGGACATCAGTCAATCCACTGGAAAAAAGAAAACCTCTTTGGGAAGTGGTACTGGAAAAACTGGGTATCTACCTGCAAAAAGATGAATCTGGACCCCTATCTCTCACTATTAACAAAAATCAACTCAAAGTTGATCAAACATCTAAACCCAAGACCTCAAATATAAAACTACTGCCAAAAACACTGGGGAAACTCTCAGAGACATTGGAATAGGCAAAGACTTCTTAAATAAGACTCCCAAAGCAAAGGCAATAATCCCAAAAATAGACAAGTGGATTATATCAGACTAAAATTTTTACATAGCAAAAGACACAGTAATTAGTGTGAATCAGCAACCATTAAGATGGGAAAATATTTTTATAAACTATGTCTCAGGTAGAAGACTGATAACCAGAACACACAGGGATAATAAAACTATTAAGTGGTTCAAATCTAGACTTGAACACAGACCTTCCAATTCCTTATTCAATGCTCTTTCTACCATACCACAATTGCTTTATAAGAGCTTTCCGTGTGTGCAATGTAAACAATATAGAAGCAAGTATTGTATTATATATTAGAGACCCAAGTTATGGTCATTAGTTCACTAGAGAGTAATTAATAAAGAATTGGGCTTTGGATTCCCACTTTTTTTTTTTTTGGGAGAGGTTTTCGCTATAAGGCACGTGCACTCACCAGACAGAGAGAGACATAGAGACAGAAAGCGAGAAATCACCCCCCAGGGGGGATGGTCAAGCCGCAATTCCTTCTCCTCCATTCTCCTCTCGAGATCTTGGGCACACACGCACACGCACCTGGTGTGAGTTTTAAGCCACCGGGTCCGGGACATGAACCGCGGTCGACTACGTGGGAGTCCAGCAACATAGCCATTACGCTAACTGCTGGTTCCCCTGGACTCCCACTTTAATTTTAGTGGCAAACAACTTAATTTATTATATGACTAATATAAGTATAAATTCCAATTTTTTTTGAAGACTATAAAATTTGTTCTTGCTCTCCATCCATAAAATAAAAATTGTCCTTAAAGTTGTGTAATTATCCTTTCTATGTATTTATTAAGCAATTCTGTTATTTGATTCTTTGTCCTATATGTGAACATGAAAATGATATTTCTATTCCTAAGAGTATGAACTTCTACACAGAAGAGAATAAATTGACAAAAATCAACTCTTTTTGATTAATGAAAACAGCAGAATAACTAGCAGAGTAGCCCATACAAACAAGTATTTAGTAAATGATGACAATGAAGAGTAGTGGGGAGATAAGTATTTTAGAGACGCGGGAAAGTATAATGAAGAAGAACAGAGGGAAGAAAATGTGAAAAGAAAACAAAAATGAAGGGGAAGGGAACAAAAAGGGAAAAGGTAAAGAAAGATATGCTTTTTTGAAGTATTAAGAAGGAAAAGCAAATATAATACCTGATCATTTTCACCTGGATATTTTAAGTTCTTGAACTTTTTCCAACAAATTTTATGGAAATAAACACAGCAACTTTTACTGCACATTAACTGAAAAAATCCCTAGAAAAAAATAAAAGTAAGCTGTTGATATGGGAATGGTAATTCACGTTGCTACAGAAAATACTGCATTAAGTCACTTTTAAAATTATTTTGTAATTAGATGAGCTTTACATGCCATTTGAAATTTATCAACAGAGATAAAGAGATGACCAAAAAGATTTACAAGTCATTTGTACATCATTAAAGACAGAAAAATTAGGACATTAAGAAAGAGCCAATGGGGAACCAGCAGTTAGCGTATTGGCTATGTCGCTGGATTCCCACCTAGTCGACCGTGGTTCGTGTCCTGGACCCGGTGGCTTAAAACTCACGCCGGGCGCGTGTGCGTGTGTGCCCAAGATCCCAAGAGGAGAATGGAGGAGAAGGGACTGCAGCGTGACCATCCCCCCTGGGGGGTGATTTCTCGCTTTCTGTCTCTCTGTCTGCCTCTGTCTGGCGAGCACACGCACCCTATAGCAAAAACCTCTTCCCCCCCCAAAAAAAGAGCCAATGATTTGAACAAGTCAATATGGTATTTTTCATATGCTATTTACGAGAACAAAAAAATCAATAACCCAACAAGTGACCTTTGTAGAACATGCTGTCCACCCCTCTTCATTTTCAATACCTCTTCATCTCCATTTTTACATTTCTTTTTTTATTCTAGCTCCAGCTCCATACCATTATCCCTGACTCTCCCATTACCAACCAGAAATGGAATTTGTTACTTTGGTGATGGCTCCCAAACTACTGTGCTACAGATTTCTTATCCCTCCTACTATGCCTTCCCTGGGAACTACAGACATCTTCCTTGAAATAGGAATTCTGTTTAGATGACAAAAATCTAAATTCTATGTCTAGAACTTCCTGCTGCTAAACACTGTTAATTTGACTGAAATCCCAACCTTTCTGGGAAACCTTAGTACCATATCATCATGTTACCTAAATGACGGATGCCTGGCCTGTAGCTCACCAGGCCCACCTCTTAATCCCCACCTTATGAACAGATCTTGCCCTTCTCCTTCTGTACACTTACCTCTTTTACTATATAAACTATGCAACATTTACTATACAGATTATGCCTTGCAACTAAGATTTAAGTTATCTTACAATCACATCTCTTAGTCTTATCTTGCGATTTTATAGTCTTATGTTGATATATCCAGAGAGATCTACTACTATTCTAATTGAAGAATTTCATCAAATTAAGACTGTTTACTTTTTTTCCCTACTCCCCCATCTTAACCCCACCACCACCAAGGTCCATAGAAGAAATAGTGATCATTTAGTATTCTAATTCCTATGACTGATGTTTCTCCTTAGTAAAATACTATTCTCAACCTCTAACATTTCTAAAAATGAAGCATTTTTAAGATTACTTTCACTGTATGACTACAAAGTAACAGTTTAGAATCATATGAATGTTATAAAACCTTAGCAAAACCAATTTATTCTTTTATTGACCCATGGAATATAAATAATTCCTGCTCACTTTGAATCTAAGTTCTAAGGAGATAGTAAATGACCTCTCAACTGCTTTACCACTATAATTAAAATACACCTTTTAAATAATATTTTGGTGAATGATAATATAATTATCGAAGTCTAATTTTACAATTACATTTAAAAACACTCAATTAACTGATTATATTACCTTATAATTGGTGTTCTTTAAAATATCAGCTTCACAAGATCGCTCACAATCTAGATAGCTGCAAATCGTCTGCTTCATTATATTACTTTCAGTTGTCTCAATAAAATTATCAAGACAATCCTAGAATTTGAAAATAAAAAGAATTTTCATGAATTAATAATAAATAAAAATAAATTAGTAATAATAAATTAAAACCACAATACTCCAATGTCTTAAGTAATAAAGGCCATATCATATTCCTTTTTAAATGACTTCTATATATATTAAGTTATCAGGAAAGTCATGATGTATTTTTCTATTTTTCTATGCAAAAATGTGTTATGACTTGCCCAAAAACTCAATATGTATTTCTTAAAAACAGTAATAAAGTCTCTTTCAAAGTAAATAATATATAAAAGGTCCTAAACTAGAAAAATCAGATTGCTTAATGAATGATGTAAACACGGAGAAAGGAGAGAAGTATATGTTTAGAGAAATACTTCTCTTCCCCATCTTAACTCATAGCATAATACCTGGCATGTTCCTATCAAGAAGAACTTGCTTTGATATAGATGTACAGAGCCAAGAAATCACAGAGGGGTGGTCCAAGAAAGTCTTGGCTGGAATGGGGACTGGCCACTAGGATACCTTGTAGGCAGCAGAACTACTGTCAATACAGTACCATTTGAACCAATGTTCAAAATGCCATTCATTGCCATCAAGGTATTGTATAGAAATATGCTTCCAATATCTAGACTTACTACTTGAAATAAAAAATTTTCATTTTAAAATGCTGATTAGGGGCCAGCCTGAAGCCTAATGGTCAAGAGTTGGATCCCACATGACCCAGTGGGGTTTGAATCCTCATCTTGGTGGCTTAAAAAAATATACCTGGTGCGTGTGCATGCCCAATATCTAGAGAGCACAGAGAAATGAAGAAGGGATTGCAGCATATTCCACTGAGGGGTGCTCTCTTCCTTTCCTCTCTGTCTGTCCCATCTCTCTCTGATAAGCTCATGTGCCCTTTGGCAAATAAAAAATAAAATGCTACAAAATGCTGAAACTAAACTTTCATGTTCCACAGGGGAAAGTCAAAGGATGACCTCTAAAATGGAGACATTTAATTATTATTATTTTTTTTTTAATTTGCTAGAGAGCATGTGAACTCAATGGAGAGAGACAAAGGAGGAAGGAAAGTAAGAAAGCAACCCCGCCATGGAAAATGGTCACTCTGCAATCAATTTTCTACATTTCTCCTGCCTGTTCAGACCCAGGGTGCCCACAAACACTCAAGGGCTGCTACGTCTAGTACTCAACCCACACTGTTGGCTATGTGAAATTCAACTGCCTTAATCACCACACCATGGGCTAGCTCTGTGATATTTTTTAAAATAACAGTGTATGTTTTTGAAAAATAGGTAAATATCAAAGAAAAATGCCTAGGAATCAGAATTTTCCTCTAGGGAATAGGAACTGTGGTTAAATGATGATAGAACAGGACCATTAATTTTTAGGTATTTTAATATTATTTGATAAATTACATAATATAAAAATTTATTAAAAAATAATAAAGATGTTTTCAAAGAAGGAGGAAAAGAGTAAAATCACAAAGATCAAGCAAGAACTTTTTTAGGTAGGCCCACAAGTTCAATATTATAAAAAATGTATGGGGAACCAGCAGTTAGCGTAATGGCTATGTCGCTGGATTCCCACGTAGTCGACCGCGGTTCGTGTCCCGGACCCGGTGGCTTAAAACTCACGCCGGGCGCGTGTGCGTGCGTGCCCAAGATCCCGAGAGGAGAATGGAGGAGAAGGGACTGCGGCGTGACCATCCCCCCTGGGGGGTGATTTCTCGCTTTCTGTCTCTATGTCTCTCTCTGTCTGTCTGGCGAGCGCACGCGCCCTACAGTGAAAATCTCTCAAAAAAAAAAAAAATGTATAAAATCATTTAAGTATGCCAAAGCTAAAAGTCATTGTGATTATAGTGACAATGCCAAGAACTGTCTGCAAATTCTATTATTTAGAGATGTGTATTAAAACATACTAAGGTGATTAGATATTTTAAAATTTCTTTCAGTTCTGTTCATTTTTGACCCATATTATTTTGAGGCTATTTTATTAGGTATGGATACATTTTAAGATGTTACAGCTTCCTAGAGCAGATTTTTTTTTTTTTTATTTTCATGAGTTGTCCCTCTTCATTCTAAGAAATGCTTTTGGTCTTAAAGTCATCTAAAATATAAAGATCCGTAAGTTTTAAAGTCAAAATTTAGAAAAAAAAATATGTCATTTAAACATTAACCAAGAAAAACTTGTCACTAATTTCATTTTAAAGAAATTAAAAGGAGACCATATGGCTTATCTGATGGGTAGAAATTACCCAGAATGTATGTGAAATGGAAATTTTCATCCTGTCTTAAGAATATACACTGGAACAAACTTTCTGAAAGTAAATACAAAGATCTATGTCAACAACTTTACAGGTATGTGAACACTTGCTTTACAATTTCACCTTTAGAAACTAATTCTAATGAAATGGTATGAGCAATCTGCAAAGATTAATTTATATAAGAATGAAAAACTGAAATTTTAGGGTAAACTAAATATTCAATATAACAGGGAACTGGCTAAGTAAATAAAGAACAGTTAATGATAAATTATGCATCCATAATTAATAATCTAATTACTGGGAAATGTAAAATATTACGTATTTCCAGACTACAAATTAATGTATATAACATCATAACACTTTAGTAAAACTAAACAGTATAAGTTTTTGTGTTTGCATTTGTGTGTGTGGTCTAGAAAGATATATATATAAAAAAGCTAATATTGGTTTCTGAAGAAAACTGTATGAATTTTACTTCTTTCTTTGGGCATTTTTACATTTCTCATTTCTTGCACTAAGTGCTTTATATACTTTGCAATTTAAATCAACAACAAAATAATGGTACATAAGACAAAAGAAGTTAACTATTACATTTGGTTCGAACCATGTGATCTACTGGACTAGAGTGGCTCTCAACCTTCTTGGTACTTGAAAATGCTGATACTGGGAACCAGCAGTTAGCGTAATGGCTATGTCGATGGACTCCCACGTAGTCGAACGCGGTTCACATCCCGGACCCAGTGGCTTGAAACTCACGCTGGGCGTGTGTGCGTGCATGCCCAGGATTCCGAGAGGAGAATGGAGGAGAAGGGATTGCATCGTGACCATCCCCCCGGGGGGGTGATTTCTCGCTTTCTGTCTCTATGTGTCTGTCTGTCTGGCAAGCGCACACACCCTATAGTGAAAAACCCAAAAAAAAAAAAATAGTGAAAAAAAAAAAAAAAAAAAAAGAAAAAAAAATGCTGATACTGCCACCTCACTACTATTTGCTAAATTATACACACCTTCTGCACAAGGTAATGGAACCAAGACTGTTTCTCATATAAAATACAAGACTCTAATAAAAGAATGTGCTTGCAAGATGAGCAGATAGCATAGTGGTTACATCGCTGGAGTCCTACAAGGCCAACTGTGGTTCAAGTCCCAAACCAGGCAGCTTGCTACTTACACCAGGTGCATGTGTGCCCAAAATCCCAAGAGGAGAATGGAGGAGAAGGGACTGCAGTTGGCCATTCCCTCTGAGGGGTGATTTCTCACTTTCTGTCTCTCTGTTGAAAGCACATTACCTATAGCAAAAAAAAAAAAAAAAAAACACCTCTCAAAGGAAAAAAATAAAAAAGCCAGACTGTGCTTGTTTGGCCCACCTGTGGTGATACAGGTGGCAGGATGCCATTACATGACACTGGAGCTATATGGAGGCCAGATTCAGATCCTGCATTAGCTTGAACATGGCAAGTATGCCTGTGATCCTGACTTGGCAGGGAGGCTGATGGGGGGTTGGGGGAGCTTGGTGTGGAGAGACTCTGCCAAGGGTACTTCCCTCTCACTCAATAAAAGAAAATTTAAAAATTTAAAAAAAAAAAAAAGAATTATGTTTGCTACAAAATATGACATTGTTGGTATAGACTACTTATCATCAAAGATGTTTTGATTAGTCACAGATGCCATGCTATTCTTCAATAATTTCTTACTTTAAAAGTTGTAGGTAAATCTTCATCTTCTGTAGGATCTAGGTCAAACCAGTGATCATTTGCATCTCCTATTTCTTGTAAACTTTTATGAAATTCTAGCAGTCCACCATTATATCTGCAAGGCGTTTTAAAATAAAGTTAGTTTGAATAAGATTCTGGAACTATACAACTTACCAATGAGACAAGTAACTCATTTTTTAATGGAAGTAGGGTAGTGATAACCTCTGGCATGCTGTAGAAATACAAATACTAGCACTCTCACCTGTGGTAGATTGGGATGAAAGACAGGTGGAAGGGGAGGCAATAGATTATGTAGTAGCTCAAGCTTGAACAGTATGGGGGCCATGGTAATTAAAGGGATTGTAGAGTTGGTTGGCTTTTGTTAACTGTCTTGGAGGCCTTGAAGAAAGAGAATGACAGGCACAGGTCAGCCAACTATTTACTCCGGACACACTGAATGCCAGAAGGTCCCTATGGCAGCATTTCAAGAGACCCTCATCTCTTGCAATAACCTGTGCTAAAAATATGCCACAGATTTAATCACAAGGTAGAACAAACTGCAAACGAAAACAAATGCACAGTCTCAACAAATGCACAATCCCTAACTCAGGACACTGTAACACTAGGAAGCCTCCATGGTAATATTTAATGAACCCTGACAAAAGGATAGTCTGCTTTAAATAAGGCCCAGGACTTAACCATAAAGGTAGAATAATTGACAGGGAGACCAAATACACAGCCTCAACAGGACTACTACACTAAAATCAGGGCTTTGATAGAGAATGAGCAGATCCTGAGATGTGCAACAGGGATATTTAAGTCGATGTGCTAATGAGGTAGGAGAGACACCCAACACACACAGTTAGGGTACAGGCCCACAAGATGGATGGAGTAACCAAGTTTTCATTAGAAATCAGTCATTAGAAACTGCTTGTTCACATGTGCATACACAAGAAACTGCTTGCACACAGGGCACAGCTTACAGCAGTGAGTTAGTTACAATCTGTAGCACCAAGGTTAGGGTCTTTGAGACCCAAGAGGTACCACAGAATGTAGATACTCAAGGTTAGCCCCACAGAAAACTTCAGCAATAAAATAACCTCAATGATCACTTTAAAAGGGGAACAAAATACTACCTTCATTTTTAACTCTTTTGTAAGCCCATTTCCTCATCAGAAAGCCAGCACCTACTCAAACTGCTAGATACAAACCCTAACAAGAGCCCTAAGACAGCAACCCACTCTGGAATTCCTCCCTGGCTATTTGGGAGCTTTCCTTTCCTTGCTTTAGTAAACTGCTTTACTACTCCTTTGTCCATGTCTCTAATTCTTCTTGAATGTGTGATAAGAACTTGGTCATCTCATAGCTCTCTATCCACACGGACACTAGGCCTAATCACGCCAGAAACCCCACATCACTTAGGCACTCTGAATTTCTAAATTTCTCCTGAATCTTCTTCTGGCAAAGACCTCTTCCTTGCAAGAGAGTAGTCTCCCTTACTTACAGACATGCAAAAAATATCATCTGTGATGCATGTCTAAAACGATGCCCTTCCTCAATAGCCTCCCATACCTGTGCTTACTGTCTTCACAATAAATCTAGGGTTAGATATAGGAGAGCCAAAGTAGGAAAACAGAGTCCCCTCCTAGGAAGAAAAAGCTTATTAACCATAAAAACTGCAAAATATAACAAGTATGTTCCAGAAGGAACATGAGTGGGAGTATATCTTAAGAATGCTGAACAAAGCTGACCCAATAGCCTAGTGGTTAAGGGAGCCAGATCCTTCATGGCTGAAAAACATACTGGAAATTTATGTGTGTGTGCCCCAAATCTTGACAGGATGGAGAAATGGACAAGGGACTTTGGTGTGACCATGCACCACTGGTCAGGAGGAATGATTTCTCCCTTTCCCTCTTTCTCCAGCAAACATATACACCTTCTGGAAAATAAAAAAATAAAAGTAATAAAAATAAATAAAAATGTGGAATCAATGAGCAAATACAAATTTGGATAGTGAAGTACCTATGAGGTGATTCTTCCATAATTCAAGATTTACTCTCCTAACAAGGACCCAGAGCAGTCCTAGCATGCTGCTGAGAAGGCTCCATAGAACATGGATACAAATTGGTCTATAGCAAGTGAGGTAGAAATGCTAAAAATGTCTTGGCAGAGTATTAAAGTAATCAGATTACGAGGATGTTAGAATGGACTTTCTACATAGAACACAGAACTCACCACTAGACAATGTTCCTGGAAAGGATCAGAAGATGTTCCATTCATTAATGAAATAAGAATACAGAATAAGAAGGGCACCAGCATTTTTGAGAAGTTCAGTGGTAACCTCTATAGGTCAGGAATAATGGCAATGATGCTGCCATACAACTGGGCTTTCTAGCGTCAATGATCTGGAAAATGAATTATCTCTATTGCCCACGAGTAAAGAGAGTAAGAAGTGGTTTCCTTGTCAAGGTAAGAACAGCAGTACTGTTTTATCTTTGTGTTATCTCAAGCTATGTTAATTCCCCTACTCTGTTACAACACACATTGGATGGTTTTGATGATACTGACATTCTATAAAATATTATACTAGTCTACTACTATTGATGACATGTTAGTCAGACCTAGTGAATAGGAAGTGGGAAGTCATCAGATATCCTAATAAAAAAGGTCATGCCAGAGGACAGGAGATAAACCTTTCAAAGAATCAGAGACCATAGGTGACGCTTTTAAGGATACCAATGGTATGGCCCAGCAATAATCCTTCATAAGAGTTTGCATAAGTAAACTTTCTCTAATTCATCTCTCAGATTTCAGCCAAACATTATCTTCTTAGGGAAACTTCCGATTCCTAAAATCAGACTTGGTCTCCAGTAAAGTCAGTGTATTTACTTCATAACTCATTTATAATACTTCATAATTGAGTATTTTATGACTTATTATATCCTTCACTATAAAGTCAGTTAAATGAAGACTGGAACTAGATTCTATTTTGAAAGCTATCATATCTCCTACACCTAGCACAATCTGTGCGTGTAAGAGATACTTAGTAATAAAAACAATGAACAATGTTAAAAATGGCAGATGATCTCCATATAGGAAGTTAATAGATAATCATATAGTACCTCTGTACAATTTCACTTTCTTAAAATATGTAATAGCCAATACTCTCAAAATTTAGCATTTGGATCCTTTCTATTCTTGATAAACTCATTATACCTTAAAATACTCCTCCAAGTTGATAGTAATATTAAATACAGCTTCTTAATGTTTTGAACACTATGCTAATCACCTGTGCATCCTTAAAAGGGAGATACTATTGAGTTGTCAGAAAAGTCATCATATATTTTTTCTGCTTATCTATGCAAAAATGAGTCATAATTTTTTCAGCAACCCAATAGTATTAGTTCCACTGTAAAGAAAAAAAAAAAAGAAAAAAGGCATACCAACCTTAAGTTTTCTAGGGTAAATGGTAGAAAATGTATTTGAACCCAGGTCTGCCAAACTCTAAAGCCCATGTTCCTAATATCAATGGTAGACTACCTCCTATTGCCATGGTCGGTTAGGTTTTATATTTAATATTCTCAAGGGCATTAAAGAAATTTTTGTCTACAGGAATAGATGAAGAAGAAAGGGAAAAAAAAAAAAGAAAGAAAGAAACCCCAGTAAGTACAAATATTATGATCCCTGGTATATATTGTGTAAACTTTAGTCCCATTTCACCCTACTGAAAGCAGACAGGAGATCTACCCATTAATTAAAATTCTTACCTCTTCTGAGCACATCGAAGTAAACCACGTCCAAAATACACTAAAGACATAAAGTTTTCACAAATTTCGTTTTCTTGGATCACCATCTTCATCACCAGGAATTTATTCTCAGCTTCTGTATAATCCTGTAGTAACAAGAAACTGGATTTGGCTGATGTAAAGGCATTTTCTTACTTTACAATAAAGAGATATTTCTCACCTAGAGAAATCAGGGTGGTTTTATGAATGATGAAGAGATGGCTCTGTGACCTAGTAGTAAAAGGAACCAGATCCCACATGGCTGACTGTAGTTCAAATCTTATCCCAATGGCTTGAAAGACATGCTGGGCATTGTGTGGCATGCATGCCCCAAGTCCCAACAGTATGAAAAAAAAAGGACTTGTGGTGTGACCACACCCTGTTGGGGGGTGATTTCTCCCTCTATCTACACTGTTGAGTGCACATACCTCCTGAGGAAGTGAGGGAGGGAAGACAATGTACTTAGTGCTTAAAATATTTATTTACAAACTTAAGATCTTTAACCAATGTTTCAAAGTGAAAATTGAAGTGATTTTTATATTTGAAACTGGCAAATATTACTAGATAAATTAAGGACTATCCTGATGACTACTGAAGCACAATTCTTTCTTTAAAGAATTATTAATATTTTATTTAATTTTAATTATTTTATTTGACCAGAGAGAGACAGAGAGAAAGGGAGGGGAAACGTAAGAAAGCAAGTCTATAGGTCCAGGTCTTGGACCATGGTTAGCCAAGTGGGACTCCAGCACCTGAACCACTATGCCACCTGCTGGTCCTGAAGCATAATTCTTAATCATTCTTCCTAATTCTTTCTCACAACAGCACAATTCTTCCTAATTTTTCCTAGGAAATAAGTAACTTTTTTTCTCCATAGATATAGCCTCTTTTGAGAAAGCACCACCATAATCATAAGCAATATAGGTTTGAAAGTAAGAATAAGTATCAGTCCTAATACATACTTCAGTTATAATTAATAAAACAGGCCTCAGTATTTCTGGAAAAGAGTAGGAAAAATACTCCATGGCCCTACGTAAAAGTATTTTTGGGTCCAGTAGGTGGCGTGGTGGTTAAAGCGCTAGGACTTCCAAATGACTGACAGTGGTTTGAGTCCCAAACTTGGCGGCTTGCTTTCTCATTTTCTTTCTCTGACTTTCTCTTTGCTTGCCTTGTAGCAAATTAAACAATAATAATTATAGTAAATAAAATTAAATAATTCTTTTAAAAAATATTTTCTAGCATATCACATTAAACAAATTTAAATTATTTAAAATAGAAATGTTTTGTTTGGTACTTATAAATTCTACATCATATAATTAATAAGTCATATATTTATGAAACAAAGTACAGAGTATAAATTTTGGGTAAGAAAAAGTAAGAAACATCAAGGTTGTAAAAAAGAAAGAGAGAAATCAATAAAATTTAAGAAAATATGTTAACCTGAAAAGAACTCTGAAATTTTCTAGTTAATTCCTAGATTTTTTCTAGTCAACCGAATTTCACTCTATGCTCTACCCAATAAAGAATGAGAGGTAAAGCTTGGATTTTACAACAGGGGTAATGTTAAGACCAGCGAGATTAAACTACATTACAAAATATTAAAATATTTAAGTGCAGGAATTTCTATTTCAGTTTCCCATTTCACACAAATGGTAAGTATCTAAAAGACAAAAGTAAAATAACAGATAAACTAATATTAACGGTTTCCTCTATCGGTATTTTTATCTTCACTATATAACCTTTGGCATAATTATAAATATACAACAAAAACGTTACTGAATGGATTTAATTTTTAGGTAACTTTAAAAATCAAAATTTTAATTTCCTATAATACATAGACAGTATATGTGAAAATATTTATAATGGCCAAATAATACAAGCCACATACCTCTTTCTTTCCCCTTTCAGTGAGTGCCACTCCATATAAAAATAGTAATGTCAAATAATAACCAATATTAATCTGGTGTGCCTGAAAAGAAAAAAAAAACAGATATGCTAATTGGTTATTTAGGCTAAGATACTTTTCAGTACAACAACTTCAAATATCCTATGCCAATTTAATAATTACTAAAAAATAAATAAATAAATAACCATTATGTTAACAGGCATCCAGTAATACCTACAGAAAAATTCAATTCACTCTAGATGTATTTAATAATAATTGGACCCCAGGAAGAAGAGGACGATCAATAATCTCAAAGTAAAAACATTAAAATTTGATCACATAAAATAAAAGCAAATACCATCAGAATTTGTTACATTAAACCTTTCAAAAAGATTTCACATTCTTTTTCTCTTATTATGTAATATTTTCAGTATCAAGAACATTTAGATTATATAATAATATGATAAACACTCAAGTATCTACTACCCACCTTAAAAAATTAAATTTCTTTTATCAAAGCCCTTTATTCTCCACATATGGGTTTTATTATGCAGTATAAATATATAGCTTACCACTTTTTCAATGAAAAATTGAAGTACATAGCTATTTTTTTTTTCATTTTAAACTGGTTTATGCAAAATCACAGAGATGGAGACAGATTAAGGATTAGGAAAGGTGGAGAGGAAGGGGGGAGTTTAACTATAAAAGTAGTATGAGAGACTTCTGTGGTAATGGATTAGTTTATCTTGATTGTGGTAGTGGTTATACAAATTACACATTTGTGATAAAGTGGCACAAGACTATGAGAGCCTTTTGTATAAAAGTATACAAAAATTGACAAAGCTGGTCTGAGACTACTATCTTTTTTTTTTTTTTTGAGAGGTCTTTGCTATAGGGCGTGAGTGCTCACCAGAAAGAGAGAGAGAGAGAGAAAGAGAGAGAGAGAGAGAGAAAGCGAGAAATCACTCTCTGGGTGCAGGTTGGAGGGGGAGGATGGCCATGCTGCAATCCCTTCTTCTCCATTCTCCTCTCGGGATCTTGGGCAGGCACACACACGAGCCTGGTGTGAGTTTAAGCCACTGGGTCCGGGACTTGAACCATAGTCAACTACATGGGAGTCCAGCGACATTGAAGTACATAGCTATTTTTTTTTTCATTTTAAACTGGTTTATGCAAAATCACAGAGATGGAGACAGATTAAGGATTAGGAAAGGTGGAGAGGAAGGGGGGAGTTTAACTATAAAAGTAGTATGAGAGACTTCTGTGGTAATGGATTAGTTTATCTTGATTGTGGTAGTGGTTATACAAATTACACATTTGTGATAAAGTGGCACAAGACTATGAGAGCCTTTTGTATAAAAGTATACAAAAATTGACAAAGCTGGTCTGAGACTACTATCTTTTTTTTTTTTTTTGAGAGGTCTTTGCTATAGGGCGTGAGTGCTCACCAGAAAGAGAGAGAGAGAGAGAAAGAGAGAGAGAGAGAGAGAAAGCGAGAAATCACTCTCTGGGTGCAGGTTGGAGGGGGAGGATGGCCATGCTGCAATCCCTTCTTCTCCATTCTCCTCTCGGGATCTTGGGCAGGCACACACACGAGCCTGGTGTGAGTTTAAGCCACTGGGTCCGGGACTTGAACCATAGTCAACTACATGGGAGTCCAGCGACATAGCCATTGCGCCAACTGCTGGTCCCAAGACTACTATCATTAAGGCTTTCCAATAAGGTTGATCCTTTACTTGTGTCTGGCAACTTGGATTTCCTACTGTAACCCACGAGGGCAACTCACTGTGCCTAGACTGTTTGTATAAGCAATGTAGTTCAGACACAATACCTGTGAGTTTCTTCTGGGAGTCTAGAATTTTGAGACTTATTAGGCAAAGGCTATCTACAGAACCAACCACCAGTAAGAATGCTGAGCATGGATGATATTCCCTATACAGACACCTCAGAGGTTGCTACATTTTCATTGCTGGGGTCAGGGGAAAGTGTACCCTGTGATTCCTCCTGAGGAGAAAACACAAGGAAACCCGCAGAAGCAATACTTCGGACTCCATCCACCTGTGTCTTTTCTCCTTTTGATCCACTGTGTATCTTTACATGTCACTGTAATATGGATAATCTTAGTCAGAGTACAACTATATGCTGGGTCCAGTCTTTTTCCAAGTGGTCTTGAGGACTCAGGAGAGCACTTTGTACCAATATAAATTTCCTGGTTTTGATCATGTAAAATGTAATTGTTCAGGGAAACTGAGTGAAGGGTACACTGAGACCTCTCTGTGCTTTTATGTTGTAGAGTTGTAACTCATGTGTATCTATAAATATCTCAAAATAAAAAGTTAAATAAAATTGTCTATTGAAAAAAATATGGTCCATTCTATTTGTGTTAATTTTTTGCATCAACTTGACTAGTCATAAGATGTCCAGATTAAACATTATTTCTGGGTATGTCTGTGAGGGTGCTTCCAGATGGAATTAGCCTTTGAACTCGTGGACTCAGGATAGTGAATGGCCCTCCCTAGTAGGGGTGGGCATCATTCAATCTACAGAAGTTCTGGATAAAACCAAAGGCAGAGGAAAGAAGAATTTGCTACTTTTTGCTGCCTGCCTGCCAGAGCTGGGACATCTCCTCTCATCTTCTCCGGCCTGGGACTGGGATTTATATGACTGCCTCCCATTTCTTAGGCCTTTGGAATTGGGCTGAATTACACCACCAGTTTTCCTGGGTCTCTGGTTTGCAGATGGCCGATCATGGGACTTCCCCGCCTCCAAGACATGAAGTAAAGCTTAAGTAAAAAAGGTTAAGCTGGAAGCATATTTTAAGGCAGCTGGATCCCACATGGCCAACTTCAGTTTTGAGTCCCAGTCCTGGCAGTTTGAAGACATGCCAGGTGTGTGTGTATGCATACCCCAAATCCCGGTGCCCTATCCCCCAAACCCCTTCTCCAGTGAGTGCACTTGCCCAATAGAAAAAACTAAGGGGAACAAACAACAGCAGCAAAACTAAGCAGTTGGCACTTACAAGTGCTCATTTTATACTGATTTATTTCCCTGAGTGACAACTGGTCAGTGGGAGAAACAGCACGTCTACAGTATACCAGACATTTCTGGGGTTATAAAATACAGTCTCCCTTTTCTTTCCTCTTTTGAATCTACCTAAAATCTCCTTTAGAGTAGATGACTACCTCCCTTCATAATCCTAGACTGGAGAATTTTAAATAAGGGTTTTCAGGTCCTTGTGCATTATTATAATACAGGATTTGGTGTTATAGGCTACTTTTTTTGGTGCCTCTCTAGTCCTTTTTAGAAGATAATCAAAACCTATCTTCTACAGGTATGCAAAACTTAATTTACTTTACTGACCCATGATATATAAAGAACTGCTTTTTCCTTTTATGGTCCAGTACTACTGATTCTAATGGAATATTCCCTTCAGATTGTTCTCTTTATTTCTAAAGTATCACTTGACCTTGAACGCCTCACGTATTTTTGTCAAGTTTACCTATAAGTACTCACTTTTACAAATATAGAAATATCTGAAGAAAGAGAAACTGATTTATAATTAGGGGAAAAGGGGGAAGAGTTTTTCTTTTCTCACTACACAAGTAGAAGTTTTATATATTTATCATATATAAAATGATTTTGTAGAGTATATATACATTGTGAAATATTTGAATAATTAACATATGCATTATTTTACATACTTGCCCTTTTTTTTTATGAGAACACTTAAAATCTACTCACTTAGCAATTTCAAGGATACAACATGCTGTTATTAACTATGGTCACTGTGTTGTACAATAGGCTCTATTTACTCTTCCTGTTTAATGGAAATTTTGTATCCTTTGACCAACATATCTCCCTAGCTTCCCTGTCAACAACCCTTGGAAACTATCATTCTACTCTCTATCTCTATGAGTTCAACATTTTTAGATTCCATAAATAAGTGATAACATGCAGTGTTTGTCTTTCTGTACCTTGCATATTTTTTGAAATTCATGACTATTCACTTCTATTTGGGAAAATTTTTCCTAATTCACATTGCTCTCTGTTTAAGGTGAATAATTTGGTGGTAGAGAAGGGGGCTAGAATAGGCTCATTACGGAAATGCAGTCACATAAAAAGACACAAGAAAGAAAGAAATTTACATGTTCCCTTCACTAGAAGTAAAAACTGGTCTACACCTCACAATAAGCATGTACTGGCTGTTGTCTCATTGAAAAATATCATCCAAGTTTAATACATCAAACTTCCAAAAAAGAAAACACTTACGGTATAATTGGTAGCTTGAATGTTCCTAAGTGCTGCTTCTAGTTGTGTTATCAAGAAACGTAAAGTCAAAGCAGGAACAATTTCCTCCCCATTCTGGCTGTTAGCCGCAACTTCCCTCTATGGAAAATAATTTAGTTGAAACTTTCTTTAGGTAAGAACAAATATACAAATATTACATTATACAAATAAAAATATTCATTGTATAAAATTTGAAAAATAGAGATAAAAATGATTTAAAAAAAAAAACCACACCACTCAGATACATGGTTCTTTTCTCTGTTTTTGTGTAGTTGAAAAATCTCCTTTATAACTATTTCCTCAAAACACAAAGAAGTATTCTTCTGCCTGCCAAGGGGTTGGCAACAGAAAGTGATAATCCCATTTCATTCTCATGCCTTCTATTCTCCAGCATAGCAAAATTTTTCCTTTCTGCCGTCAACCTCTGGTAAACGGGAATGCTGGCATTAAAACCAATCCCAGGACAAACCAATTTATGCTACAATGTGATTGGAACTAAACTAATGTATACCTTATTATTATATAATATATGCTCTGATATTTACATGAAAGAGATGTAAAAAAAAAAATAGTAATTAGAGACAGACGCAGCTGCAGGCCTCTGGCCAGCCAGCGATTCCGAGGCAGGAACATCGCTGCTCCCTCACCTAATCTGCAGACCCCCAGCCCAAGCGCCCACCCCCTAGCTTGTCCTGTCCACAGCATCAGGCCACAGATCCAGCTGCAGGCCTCTGGCCAGCCAGCAATTCTGACACAGAGACATCGCTGCTCCCTCACCTAACCTAGAGACCACCAGCCCAAGCATCCACCCCCTTAGGTAGGTCATCATTACTTTCTGCTGTGGATTTTTCAGCTTATATATTCTCTTGTTAATCTCCTGGTATTCCTCCTCCCACAGCCTGTCCTGTCCCCAGCGGCAGGCCACAGATCCAGCTGCAGGCCTGGGGCGAAATCGCACACCGTGCTAACTAGCAGCGTGCGAACATTTCTTTATTTTTTTCTGTGTTTTTTTTTGTTTGTTGTTTCACCTAATACCCTCTCCTCTTCATCTTCCACCCTGCCAGAAAGACTTCCTTTGTACTGATTCACCTGAAAAAAAGGGGATATTGCTTTTCAGACACCTCAGTAGAGTACTCCACTTGATACCACATTGGTAAAAACAACAGAAGAGAGACTTTGCCAACCATTAATTGGCAGCAAAAGGGAAAGTCACGTACTCCTAGTCGGAGAAACGTTCCTGCAAGAGGTATTCAAAGTGAATACTTCTTCCAATGGCTAGAAGTAGAAAAAGAGCCTCAGTTATGAATAAACAAGGAAATACATCTCTATCAAAAGTACAGAGTAACTCCCCTACATCTTTTGTGCTAATGGACGATGTTACCAAAACGTCAGACAAAGAATTTCAAACATTTATGGTGAAAAAATTCTTTGAGTTGGAACAGAAAAGAGACAACGAACTACAGGAGATGAGGAAGTCATT